TTGGACAAAATAAACTGTCCTGGTTGCCCAGAAGGCAGCAACATCGGTGTAACGGAGGTCGGAACTGAGGCACAACCGGAGACTGTCGGTAAAATGCTGGCTGACTGGAGAAATGGCTGTGCAGTGTTCACGAAGGAGGTCAAAGATTCCGTTCCATTCTGGAAAGCCGTCGGGTTGCCGAGTGCATCAGTTCCCATCATAAAAGGGCTGTTGCTGCTGCTGCTCGAGGTAGAGGGTAATATTGAAGAGAACGTACTTAATTGCGGTGCAATGAATTGGGACGTTGGAAGTTTGCGTCTACTACGACTGCGGGGATTGGACATAGATGCTGACGTAAGCATGATCGGGGCAATAGTGGTGTTTTGACATATAGCAGGCTTCCGTAAGAGAGGTTGGGGGGCAGTAAGAACGCAAGACTTGGTGGTGAATGAAAAAGTTGTAGGCGGTGGGTTGAGGGGTGTTACAGCGACTGAAGCTGCAGGAGGAAGGTTAAAATTAGGTGCGGGTAAATGTATTGATGTATGGCCGGCACACGTGGTGGAGGAAGGAACTAAGGACTGAAGCATGGAGGAACGTTTCGAAAATTTGGCGGGAGGCTTTTGGATACTGGCAAGACCGGGTGTGGTGGCAGGTCGCAAATTTGACGGTTTCGGTGCAATGGCTCGCATACGTCTGCCAGATACCGGTATTGAGGTGGTTGTTGTGGAGGGCACAACTGTTGTAAGAGTGACAGGTTTACTGTTAAGACTGGCAGAAGCAGACGGGGACATAAATGAGGTAGCTGGAGCAGTTGAAATTGCAGACTTGGGTAGTTGTACCATTCCAGCAGCGGCACTTGAGGGAGTCGGGTTTGTGGCTAAGTCTGCTGACGCGTTGCTGAGCGTGGTTGAGCCTCCAGTGCTTAACGGTTGGCCCATCGCCGTGGGGGGCATGGACGTGCCCGTCGGAACATTCGACATAATACCAGACGGTGCAACCGAAAGCATTATCGGACCACCAGTCAACGGACCACAATTAGCTAGCGCGCTTAAAATTAGCTGCGTGGAGACGTTGATGGTGTAATGTTCGTCAACACGGGCCCCAGCAAGCGGTGAAACTTGGAGCAGTATGGGTGGCAGTCCTGGTAAATCAAGAGATACGGGGGCGAATTCGCCAGATGCGTTCAATACCCTGATCGTGCGGGGAATAAAAGGCGGCAATGATGAACTATTTGGCAAGGTCTGAGAGTTTGGTTGAGTATAAAGAGCAGTGGTAGAGTTCTGGCTCGAAGAGACGACCGAAGTTGTAACACAAGTGGGAGTGCTTTCCATGGAGAAGCCTGGTGTGCATATGCTAGAAACAGCTGAGCCCTGCGAATGGAAAGGTATTAGATGCCCCGTAGCGGTCTGTAGGTACATCATTCCCGGGGCAAAGCTGTTGTCTGAGGCGTTGACTGCTGATATATTTTGAACAGCGCTGAGGGGTTTAGTTGCAGGTACTGATACATCGGTAAGGTGTGTGAAGGCTACCGAGCTGGGCAGATGCGCTTGGGAGGTG